AGTGTGCTCTCGCCTCTTTGTCTGGATCTGAGTATACATTAGAGACAATCGCTCACTACATCTAGTTAAGTCTAAATCTTAGTCTTCTCAAACAGAGAGTTCTTCGGGTCGGGATTATGCCGCAATCTTTCCCTATCAGCAATCCACTTCTCTGAATACCCATCTGGCTTCCTGTCCGCCAGGTCCCGTCCCTCGTTGACCCATTTCATCAAGCCCGCGGCATATTCTAGATCCTCTCCAAGCCTGGCGTGGAATTTCTTGCCGAAGCCCTTTGCCTTGACTCTTTCACTGTATTCGGCCCTTTGAGCTTCCACTGACGGGAGCTTGGCCTTTCCTGACAGGAAGGCGGCGGCGGCTATGGCCTGGAACTCGAAGAAGGAGAAGGTCGCCGTGTAGAACGGCACACCGACGAAAATGAGAGTGGGATCGGGGATGTAGAAAATGTCGCTGTGAAGGTTGTGGAGCTGAGTACCATCTGTAACCAGCACTTTGTCGTCTGCGTCGGGGGCTTTCACGTCATCTCGGTGGTACTCGACCAAGAAGGGGAGCGAAAACTGATATCCGGTTGCCACGACGATCCTGTCGATGTCTTTGATAACAGTGCCGTCTGCCAGGGTTGCGTTCCCAATGGATCCTTCAGTCGAGTCCTGTCCTGGGGGGTGGAATTTGACGACTTCCCCAATCCTCTCCACTTCGTCTGGTAATACGGCGACGGGGAGGTCAAAGGCGCCGCCTCTAGTGGACTGCCATACTTTCTTTGCTACTGGGAGAATCTCCTTGACGGCGTCGAGTGATGATGCGCTGCCTCCGATAACGAGCACGTTCTAGCAAGGAATCAGTTGTTGTTTACGGAATGAGGATATCACTGGTCAAATACCTGGTTCTCGTATCCGTTGGCGTTTCTGTAGCTCTTGGAGTGCTGAATCCTTGATGGGAATTTACTCTTCCACTCCGACAGGCCGGGGATATTTGGGACTCTGGGGGCGTGATAATGCCCAGAGGCTACAATAACTGAATCAAAAGACTTTGCCCGGTCAGCGTCGTAAATCACAGGAGTTTCTCGGCGTGAAACATACCCATTCCTTGGCTACCGCTTCCCCCTTGGCTTCATCCCACGTCGACGATACGAGCTTCCACTGATCTCCAGTCTTGGAGACGTGTTCCACTCTGGTGTTGAACTGTGTGTTCTTGGTCACTCCAGTTGTTTCTGCCGTGTCCTGGATGTAGTCTTTAAGAACGTCGTGGAGCACGAACGACTGTGTGCCAGGCTTCAACGGGTTGAGCGTTGTTTCTAGCAACTCCGTTGGAACATTATTCTTCAAGCTATCGTATGCAGGGCTATTAAATTGGTTAGATATAAATAGTAGTTACATAATTGCATTCTCTCCGTGGGCCACACTCACGTTGGTTCTGAGAGCCACGCCTTTCTCTCGCCGTTTGTTGCGCTTTCGAAGAAGGTCGACTCTGCGACGGACGGCTTTGCCGACGGATAGGTAGGCTCGTGCGGTACTCTGGATTCCCAGACCCATACGCCTCCTGCTACCGGTGCTCGCTCAAACACGGTCACGTCCAGCCCCTCGGCGAGCAGGTGAGCGGCCGTCACGACGCCGGAAACGCCAGCTCCGATGACACCTACACGACGATTTGCTGCGGGAGACATTTTGAATTATGATTGTATTAAGCAGGAATAACTTTTTTGACCCAAACACACGACCTTTCTACCTTTCTGCATGATGGTTCCGTCCCCAAGTAAACGCCCGCTTATAAATACCAGCTCCCGTCACACAAAAGCGCCAGCACAATAATTCACTCAAATTGCATGATCCCAATGTCGAGATACCACATTGTGAGAAGGAATCTGATTTGTATCCATTGAAGGGGTTTTTGGGCCGAGTTCATTGGTTACCGGCGGATTGTGGGAGGTGAACGAGGATGACGCCTTTGTGCTATATATCGCGTCATCCAATCGCAAGGAACTAAAACCCGGGCCTTACCGACGAAACGGGCCATTTATGCAGGTCAACGGCCTGTGTTTTGCAGACGACGGAGTTACGGATTAATAAACATTGCTCAGATGATCTTGTGGAGAGACAGGCTCTGTGTTCACGGGGGTGTTTTGAATACCGTGGTGGGATATCGCATATTGAGGGTTGATTCACTCATCGAATAGCGACGCCTTCACAACTCCTAACAGCCAGCACAACTTCAATGGGGCTTCCGCCGAATCATGAAAATTTCATCTAATGCTCACAGCCCGTCTCATCCCACTCGTCTCATCGAATATCTCCCGACACCGGAGCCCGCATAAGACGGCCTGTGCCGGACGATGGCGCGAGGCTCTGCCCCGGTTGTTTCCCCAGAGAACCCCGAGGCAGAGCCAATCATCTAACATGGGCCCCGAGCTCGCCATCAGATTCCGGCATTGCGCTTCCAATATTTGTGGCCTTATCGTGTTGCAGCTCTCGCCGGGTGGGAGAAATGGCCTGCATGATGCGCACGTGTGGCTGTAGCAAATAGATAAGAGATGAGATGAAATGAAACTATTCCCAATTGTCACTCCATTCGTTTTGTTTTCCGAGACAGCCCTCTCACTTCTGATCCAGTATTTCGCCAAGTAATTTCACCATGGGGTCCAACGTCGAGCCCGCACCGATCGAGATTGCCATCGTCGGCGGCGGTCCTGGCGGACTTGGCACGGCCATCGCCCTGTCAAAGCTACCTTTTGTCCATGTGACGCTCTATGAGCAGAACTCGGAGCCTCGCGAGGCCGGGGCCGGGCTCAGCCTGAGCACCAACGCTTGGAAGGTGCTCGATATCTTGGGAGCTGGTCAGTTGGTCAAAGGCGGATCCAAGAAGAACACTCACCAAAGGTTGAAATAATCTACCAGAGGTTTCATATTATTTCGACAAGCGGAAACTAACGAATTTGATAGAAATGCTTTCACTGGCAATATCTTGCATGTCACGAGGTTCCCAGAGAACTCGGATGCAGACAACCGTGGCTCAGTAAGAGCTCGTCGGGTCCGGCTCCAGTCAGCGCTGCTCTCCCAAGTACCTGAAGGGCTCATCCAATTCAACAAGAAACTGATTTCCCTGGAAAATCTGGATAATGGAAAAGTACGGCTGCGATTCAAAGATGGAACAGAAACAATAGTCGACCTGTTAGTAGGCGCCGATGGAATCCGATCTGTCCGTATTTCCCAATGGCCAACTCAAACTCGACTTTGCCCTGTTGTTGACTAAACTCCCCTTATGCAGATCACGCGACGGACTCTGTTTCCTGACCACCCGCTCAAATTCACCGGCGATACCCAGTGGCGCACTCTCGTCCCCAGATCGTCGCTGGATCATCTTCCGGACGTGACGCACGCAACCGGCTGGTGGTGGGGGGAAACAGGCCATGTGTACTTCTCCGACGTGGACGATCTCTCAGAGACCTCCGACCCCTACTTCGAAATCACCGTCCGGTCCTATCATGAGCCTCACGTTCCCGGTGAGACAGTTGTCTGGGGCGTCCCTGCTAGCAACGAGAAGGTGGCATCACGGGTTGAGGTACGTAACGAGCCAGCTGGAATGAAATGAGTTGGATATTGACCCCCCACGCAGAAATTCGACCAACGCATTAGAGACGCCGTTGCTGTTGTTCCCGAGGGCCAATGGAGAGAGTTCGCCTCGTTCGCAGGCCCTCGTCTGGAAAAACTAACAGCATGGGACAAGGTGGTGCTGATTGGGGATGCCAGCCACCCGCTCTCAGGTACGAGCCCTCTCCCTCGCCCTGGATATTTCATGTTTCTAACATTATTATTATTCTCGCAGGTGCCTTTGGATCCGGTGCTACTTTCGCAATGGAGGACGGCTGGATTCTCGCCCAGGCGCTCCAATACACCAAGGGCTCGCCACATCAGATCCGCGACGCTCTGGAGATCTTTGAGCAGATCAGAGCGCCATACTACGAGAAGATGTAAGTAAACTCGCCCTAGGCTGCACTTTTGGCCACTAAAATTAACATAATCGCCAAGGTACGTCCATCTCGACGAGGTCAAGGTGAATCTACAACAAGCACAGGCGAAAGTGTCGACATTAGACGAGAAGCTTCAGCTAAAGATTGACCACTTCCTCCTCGGAGATAAAGACTTCATTTACAAGAACGATATTGCCAAGGTCTGGGAGGGATATGTATCGAAGCAGCAGGCTCAAAATTCAGTCTAGACAATAAAATCAATCAATGTCCTTGATCAATTCTCGACATCCAGTGGCCCGAGAGGACCCTTCATCCGTGCCTACCCTAAAGTAGACCAAGTTCTGGACTAAATTGATGCTATTGCCAAATTGCCAAAATGCCTGTGTCTTTATTTTCTTGGGCCATACCTTGTTTCTCATACAAGTAGCCGGTAGGTATCCAAAATCTCATGTCAAGGTTTGCACAGTGCCATTCAAGAAGAGGAGTATCTAGATTGTTGTCTAGTGTTCGGCTTCCCCCAAGTCATACATCACAAGGACGGTGGCCATTGATTGACGAGAAAACAAGCGGTTGGCATTTCATGTCGTCACAATGTACAAATTAACATAAGTACTACTAGGTAGCTTGGTTGTGTCCCCCTTTTGTCCCAAAAATCATCGTCGCCCCCCTCTAAATTCAAACCCAAGATAAGCTTAACATGAGACGCTGTCGAGTGGTCCGCGGCCGGCGTCTCGAGAGTCTTGAACATCACTCCATCGAAATGAGATCCAAGATATAGGGTAGAATCCAATAAAATCCAATATCCCAGCAGCTCCTCTCCATTCTCTTTTTGTTCTTTGTCCCACCAAAAGCTAGGAAACGTTCATTACAGTTAGGAGAATAATAATACTAACGCCACCTCTCCAGTAGCCCATTCATCAATGACGGGAGGAAAAAAGACAAAAGAAAGAAAAGGACCCAAAACCAGTCAATGAAACCTCTGATAAAAATGGGCATGGGGACCGTAATCCTTGGACGCTTCGTGCAATAGGATGATAGCTTATGGAAAGTCGCGAGCCTTGCGCGCTAGGATTCTCACGTTGTTCAAAAAACCCTTGACTAGTTCCTCATACCGATGTGGCGCGTTATTCATGGCTCTCTGACCTTGGTCAACGAGAACATCGGGTGATATCTCGATCTCAAGCTCGTGCTCCTTTTCGGAACGAGTTGCGCCCTGCTCCAAGTCAGTATCATTCTTTTGTTAAAATGATTCAAAAAAGTCAACTTACTCCAGGCAGAGTAACCTGCTGAGTGACCTGAGTCAGATCGATCTGGTAGTGGCCATGAGTATAACTTAGTCGGTCCTTGTTTCTGCTGGGTTGCCTTCCTGTTTGGCTTGCAGCAAGCTGCTCTAGTTCTTTCGTAGAGCCGCGCCAGTCCATTTCAAGATTGATACTGATGCGGCAATCCATGGGACATGTCGGCATATGAAGGTCGATGTCAGCAACACGCGCCTTCACAATGGTATTTATGATCTGTCCGGTCTTTTGATCATGAGTGATCCGAGCCCGGACGTTCTTACGACCTAGGCGAGAAAGCATACAACCGGGAAGCTCATCCTGAAGCTCACGCGGAAGTTCGACGAAGCTATCGACTTCACGACGGTGCTTATAGTGAACCTGAACTCGCTGCTTGCCAGTGTTGGGGTTGCGAGGGTCGGTTTCGATGACGGTCTGGTTGAGAAAATCATTGAAAGCCTTGTGTTGTGCCTATGTGCAGTTAGCAAACCCGCAGTTTTTTAGATTCTAGGCCAAAGTAGAAATGTACGAACCTCGGTCATGCTACTCCTGAATGCTGTTCGATTATTGCTTTCCAAAATGGCCTCGGATCCAAGAAAACGGTCGACCCGGTGATTTGTATCTTTGTCAATGAGAGTGCCCAACTTAGCCTCAATCTCAAACTTTATGCCGCGATTCGTTATCTCTTGTATATCGGAAGCTCCAACAATGTTGACAAAAAGGAAATCTGCGATTACGCGCGGTATGTCTTCTATTGGCTCCACTCCTGTGATCGAATGCTCCCAAGCTCCGAGTATATCTTGGGGTCCGGGAGAAGGGGGGGCAGTAGTTGTCTGGGAATGACGGGGAGGTTGAGACTTCACGGCTTCGGGAGTCTTGGGAGCTCCGTCTTTGGAGGCTCCATTCACATGGGGGTGAGCTTTTTTCTGAAGCACAAAATTGGCATTAGGTGGTAGGTTTTTGCCCAAGGTACGTATGCTTTGAGCCCAAATGGGTTTCTCGGCCCAGTTGACTCTTTTTTTCCGTTGTTCGGCACGTTGTTCGACAGGAGATTGCGTCTTGGGTGCGGCTGGTAATGCAAGAGATTTTCCGGGTACATGTTTCCCATTGATTTCGCCTGGAGGCGGCCTGGTGTCTTTATGCTCGAGCTCCTGGGGGCTCAGATCTCTGTCGTCAAGCTTCCGCTTCGCCGGTGTCGTCGTGGGCTCGGTGTCGATCATCATCTTCACTGGAAGCGAAACAGAGTTGCGCTCTGAGTTGCTATGTAAGGATGGCACTCGGGTTTTGGGGCTCACCGACAGGCTGTGCTCTCGATCGTGAATTGATGCTGGTCTGCGATTGTGATCAATGGCAGGTGATTCACTGGTCCGGTGGGCATTATGTGTATTGTTTGTGCCGGGGATATGTTGGACGGGTGGGTGCAGTGGCTCTTGTGACCGGGCTTGTGGCTGTGGCGGTGAAGATTTTGTTTGCCCAGGAGAGGCCACCGGCACCGAGGGTGTTCTCTGTTGATATGGACTCGAAGGTTGGGTCTGTGGCTGGGATTGCGGTCCAGACGGAGGGAAGGAACCTGGAGGAGGACCAGGTTGACCGAGCGCGACTGGTAGAGGCGGACCAAGAGGAGTCGGGGGTTGGGACGGCTGACGATTGTATTCTGCAGACGGCGGGATCTGGTGGGCGCTCACAGGACTGCTGTGGATGGGAGGCGGGCCATAATGGTGCTGGCTATGTGCTGATGTTGGGGTGGGAGTCGATTGAGCGGATTGGGAGCGCTGATGGATAAAAGAATGAGGGCCACCAGGCACGGCAACCGGTGGAGTCTGTGAAATTACAGCTACGGGATGGTACGGCCCAGGACCATGGGAATAGCTGTCTTGCCGTTGCGGCGGCGGCTGAGAGTGCTGATATTGTAGAGGCGGATGTGTTTGTTGCCGCATGCTTGGGCTCGTCATTTCGCTCGGCGGTCCATGAGTGGGTGGGAAGGGATATCCTCGTGCAGTCGAGCTCGAGGCTGTAGGGGTCGATGCTGCTCGGTAGGCAGTCGGCGATGGAGCCAGCATAGGCGATCGAGGGTCGTGGAAGGAGTTGGTAGGCTGGAGAGGAGGAGGCGGAGGAGGTCGATTCGGGTACGAGGCGGCCACCTGATAAGGTGATTGTGGGTGAGATGGGTACGAGGCACCTTGTGATGCCTGGTGCTGAGGGTGCTGTCCAGGATGATGAGGGTAGTCCTGACCGGGAGGCTTGCCGGGCGAACGATGCGGTTGAGCTGGATAACCGTACTCGCTTCGATAATGGTGTTGGGGAGGACTCTGCTGGAGGTGAGGCTGGATCTGCGGTTGCTGCTGCTGTTGAGGAGTTGGAGGCGGCTGGGCGGGCGGCGCACGATCGCGGTCAGGCTGACGGCCGCGATCGCCGTTGTCAGAATTATTCAGAACTGAACGGAGATCCATGGTGCGAGATGAATGGGCCAATCGCGCAGGTTATAAAACGGTACGGGGCAAAAAGCTGGTCGGAGTCGATGCTTGGCCAGAAGAAAGGAAAGATGACGGGCCCATCTGCTTGCGTCTGCTACGTCGTGACGCGATGGATGTCGATGTCGAGGCCCAAGACAAGCTCAAGGCCAGGATTATATGGAAAGCCTGGCTCCAGCTGAGCAGCAGATCGAGGTCGAGCGCGCGGGCGATGCAAGAAGATTCGGGTCGCAAATAGGCATTGTCGCGCTGAGACCAGCTACCGCACAAAGAAGAGGAGATGCGCCTGGTTGCAGTGAGCGCCCAGGGACGGATTGGAAGAACGCTGAAGACGCTGGAAGAGACAGCTACGACATGGGAAAGAACAATGCAATGGGTGTGCGGTGCAGCGGAGGCCTACTGGCGGCGGGATCCCATGGTCCTGATGGGACGTGTTGGCCGTCAAGTATGTTGATGGAGGTTGAGGACACAATCGCGATCGATGCTGGACTTCCGACTCATTGGGCAAACTTAACTTTTTTTGGGCCACTACTGCACATTGGTAGCTGCCAGGTGGGAAGGCACACAGCCGCGTCGTGCAGGCGGTCCGTTTCCATCCTAGTTACGGGCTATCTATAATGGGGTTTCTAAGATCTACAGTCCCAGCATGCTCGCTGCAGCCATTTGCCTTTGCCAGAAAGGCAGCATCAAATCGTGCCGGAGACTGCTGGTTACCGCTTCATGGGCTGCAGCATCCCGTACGTATCCTGAGCTGATGCCTGCCATCTCCCGACGCCCAACCACGGCTGCTGCAGCTACCAGGAGGCTCGTGCGTCAGCACCGGGACCTGTGGCAGCTGTCCCAGTCTCGATGCCCTGCATGCATCCTGCCTTCCCGAACCCGAGCCCTAGCTCTGTGACTGACTGCTTATCGCTCACCTGGCTTAGTGCTCGGTGAGGCCCGCCTGCGATATCCACACGGGAAATATGATATTACGGTATTACCCCGAGATGAGATGATGATGCGCAATGTGGCCGATCAAAAAGTCCTGACTCCTGCCTGCCCTACTAACCTAAAGCACCCAGACTCGCGCCGTCACGTGACATGAGCCGTCCTTGCCTAGAGCCTGCTGGACTAGGTAGTCTTAGTCAGCATACGTGGGCACCCGCTATGGGTCCCCGCTCTGGTATCTTGTGCTCGCTGATTGGTCCAGCGTGTTGCAAGACGGCGAAGGCAGCTGTGCCTGACGTGGATGCATCAGCTGCAGGCAGTACCTTGGTCGTCGTCGAAACCACACAAGCATCGTCACTCCTGTTCCCTTGCTTCCATCCACTTCGCCCACAATACCTCACCCACCTTGAGAGCTTACTCTCTGACCGTCCATACTACCACACCGTTGTGGCCGGTTTCTCCCTCCCATCTCTTGTTTTAATTCGACGATTCTCCGATCAGTAGCTCGTTCTGCGGTATTCTACAACCATCGCCGCACTCGCAACACAATGCCTGGGCTGGTTTCTGCCACAGGTGTTCTGGCATTCCTTGCCGAGGAGGAGCCTGAGCTCAGAGTCTTCGCTCTCCAGACCCTGAACGATGATATCGATACCGTTTGGACAGAGGTCGCAGGTGCCTTGAGCCAGATGTATGATGAGCCCTCCCTCCCATTTGAGTAACCGTCCAAACTAACTTTGTGCGTGCAGCGAGGCCCTCTACGAAGATGAATCCTTCCCCGAGCGACAGCTAGCCGCCCTGGTTCTTGCCAAGGTCTACTACCATCTCCAGGCCTACAATGACAGCATGGTGTTTGCCCTCGCTGCAGGCGACCTGTTCAAGCTTGATGCGCACGGCGAATTTGAGGAGACCATCATCTCCAAGTGCGTCGACCAGTATATTGCTACATCCGCCGCGAAGAACCCTGGCCCCAAACCCTCCAAGAGCACCGAGCTTCCTGAGCTTGCGACTACTTTCTCCAACGTCCCTGATGGTGCTGTCACCTCCCCCACGACACCCTTCTCACAGACGACACTTCCTCCCAAATCTCTTCTCTCTCGCGATTCTATCGACGACTCCGTTCTCGGCGCCACCTTCCAGCCCATCGGGAAGAATGGGCGTTCTGGCTCCGTTGCCAACCTCCCGGACCAAGCTACCGAGTCCGCCCTGCAGAGAGTCATTGAGCGCCTTTTCGAGAGCTGCCTCAAGCAGGGCCGCTACAGACAGGTGGTTGGCATTGCCATCGAGGCCAGGAATCTTCAGGTTCTCCGTAATGTCATTAAGCGCGCTAGCGAGGATGCTGCTCGCTCCAAGAACAAGGCACAAGACGGAACCCCCGGGCCCGCTGAAGAGTTGATGGAGTACACACTCAGTATCTGCATGGATATTGTCCAAGAACGTAGCTTCCGCCACGAAATCTTACGTCTGGTTCTGGACCTACTCAACGAGATCCCAAACCCCGACTATTTTGCCATCGCCAAGTGCGTCGTGTACCTCAACTCCGACGAAGAAGCCTCTCGCATGCTGCAGACCCTGGTCGATAACGGCGATCGTACCTCGATAGCAAATGCCTACCAGATCGCCTTCGACCTCTATGACAATGGAACACAGGAATTTTTGGGCAAGGTCTTGGCCTCACTCCCATCCCCTGGTCCCGATCCTAGCGAGGCGGCTCCCGAAAAGCCTGCCAAGGCCACCGATCCCAAGGATGCCGAGACTGAGCCTCTTCTCAAGGAGGAAAACGACGATGAGGACGAGGATGAGGACGAGGACGAGGAAAAGCTTCCCGAGGAAGTTGCCAAAGTCTGGCGCAACATTCGCTCCATTCTGGATGGTTCCAAGACAATCCAACTCAACCTGGAGTTCCTGTACCGTAACAACCGAACCGACCTCAGCATTTTGACAAAGGTCCGCGACAGTCTCGAAGGTCGTAGCTCTATTTTCCACAGTGCCGTCACATTCTGCAATGCCTTCATGAACCAGGGTACTACGAACGACAAATTCTTCCGTGACAACCTCGATTGGCTTGGCAAGGCTGTGAACTGGTCCAAGTTCACGGCGACTGCCGCCCTGGGTGTCATGCACAGAGGCAATCTGAAGCAATCACGGAAGCTCCTGGAGCCCTACCTCCCTAGAGCCGGTGGGTTGGGCAGTGGCTCCGTTTACAGCCAGGGTGGTGCTCTGTATGCCTATGGTCTGATCCATGCTAACCACGGTGCTGGTGCTCTCGAGTACCTCAAGACCCAATTCAACAACGCCGAAGATGAGGTCTTGCAGCATGGTGGTGCTCTTGGTTTGGGCATTGCAGGAATGGCAACTGGTGACATTGGCATTTTTGAGAAACTCAGGGATATCCTGTTCCAGGACTCGGCACTCAACGGCGAGGCAGTCGGTCTATCCATGGGTCTCATTATGCTGGGTACTGGCAATGTCAAGGCCATCGAAGACATGATCACGTACGCCCACGAGACAACTCATGAGAAGATTGTCCGCGGTGTGTCTATTGGCATGGCTCTCATCATGTACGGCCGTCAGGAAGGAGCCGATGTCTTGATTGAGGGTCTGCTGAACGACCCCGACCCAACTCTACGATATGGCGGTATCCTGACAGTTGCCCTGGCCTACTGTGGCACCGGAAGCAACAAGGCTGTTCGTAAGCTGCTCCACGTTGCCGTCAGCGATGTAAGCGACGATGTCCGTCGTATTGCTGTGATGAGTTTGGGTTTCATCCTCTTCCGCAAGCCCGGCAGTGTCCCTCGCATGGTTGAGCTTCTTTCCGAGTCATACAACCCCCACGTGCGGTATGGATCTGCCATGGCCCTGGGTATTGCGTGCGCTGGAACCGGTCTTGATGAAGCTATTGATCTTTTGGAGCCAATGATGAAGGACCCAACCGACTTTGTGCGACAGGGAGCTCTGATCTCTCTTGCAATGATTCTGGTTCAGCAGAACGAGGTGATGAACCCTAAGGTCGCATCAATCCGCAAGACCCTGAAGAAGGTTGTTGGGGATCGTCACGAGGACGCCATGACCAAATTCGGTGCTGCCCTGGCCCTCGGTATCATCGATGCCGGTGGCCGCAACTGCACAATTGGCCTCCAAACACAAACAGGTAACCTCAACATGGCTGGAATCGTCGGTATGGCTGTCTTCACGCAATACTGGTACTGGTTCCCCTTCACCCACTTCTTGTCACTGAGCTTCTCGCCCACCTCAATCATTGGACTGGATCACAACCTCGAAATTCCTGATTTCAAGTTCCACTGCGCCACCCGCCAGAGCCTCTTTGAGTATCCACCAGAGCAAGAGGTCAAAGCCGAGGAGGGCCCGGCCTTGATTGCCACCGCCATTCTGTCGACGACTGCTCAGGCCAAGCGACGAGCCCAGAAGAAGGAGAAGGCTCAACGCCGGGAGAGCATGGACATCGACTCCGCTCCAGCCAGACCTTCAGTGGACGCCATGGATATATCCGAGGATAAGAAGAAGGATGAAGGCGAAAAGGAAGAGAAGGAAGAGAAGGAAGACAAGGAGAAGAAGAGCGGCGATGAAAAGGAGTCCAGCCCTGCCGAGTCCAAGAAGAAGCCTGAAAAGGAGAAGGTCGGGTTTGAGATTGAGAACATGACCCGTGTTCTCCCTGGCCAGCTCAAGTACATCAGCTTCCCGGCTGGCAGGTATAAGCCCGTCAAGAAGGTAAATTGTTCAAACCCAACCAATTTTATTTATTGAAAGCTAACGTTATTGTCTGAAGCCTACTGGCGGACCTCTTTTACTTGACGACACACAGCCCGATGAGCCCAAGACCTTGCTTGAGGAGAAGCTGAAGAAGGTCACAACAGAGCGGGCACCCGTTGCCGGAGCTGGTAACCAGCGGAGCGGACGAGGAGGCGGCCGATCCATCCTCGACGGACTAGTGGACCCAAGCCGTGGCTCGACTGGCAACTCAATGGTGGACCAGATCCTTCGAAATGCACAGGGGCGAAACTCGCCTCTGGCCAGCTTGTTGGATCTTCCCTCTACTCCTGGAGCACTAGGCGCGGCGGGAGCTGGCTATGTCCCTGGATTGGAGGATGACGACGATGACGAGGATGCCAACGTGCCCAACGAGTTTGAATACTACTCCGACAATGGCAGTGACGATGAGTTGTAGATTCATAATGCGTCAGCCAGACTACCGCCACCTCGACTTCCCTATGCGCCCTTGGATGTTGATGAAGAATAGGCCTAATCTCTCGTTAGGAGACTCATGGGATGGACCCTGTGAGTGGTTCTGGATGGAATTGGCCATGTATATCTAGAGTGCCATCGTCCGGCGTGATGGTGGTCTCTACAATACCTCGGCCATTAATTACCCTCTTGCTCTTAAGTATAATCTTACCAATATGCTAATGCATGCCTCTATGTATTATCGGATAGACAGTGTCAGCGGGTTGGGGATGGGCATGCAGGTTAAAGGGAAAAGAATAGGAGGCAAAGGCGCCCTGGGTCTGTAACATGGTACAAACGGAATAGATTTGTTTTGAGGCCATTACAAAGGATCCCCGAGATCTGCTCGAGGTTAATTTTGCCACTATGTGAATCCGCCAATGGAAGTACAAACATACGCCAATGACTTGAAAAGAGTTCGACATCCATGGTGGGATGAGCTTAATTTATTGAAAGCTAATTACAAGGGGTATCTGTCATTAAATTACGTTACAGTACAATCTAAAAGTTCTCTCTTTTTTTTGTCCCCCTCCGCTTCATGTCCCGAAGGATTACTCCTGCTTCTGCTGGCCCAGGCAGTCAGTGCAGACCCGCACACGGTGCCAGGCGGATGCGAGGTTGCCCCTGATATTCCACGTCGCGGCATGGCTCTCGGGCTGGGTGTTGTATGTCTCGTCGGTGGCCTTGACGACCACGGTGGTACAGACCCGGCTCGCCGCCCCGTTGGCATCACCCTCCTCGCCTTGCTGGCCCTTGTTTTGCTGGAGCGCACCGGCGGGGACCTGGCCCTCGAAGCGCCAGCGCTTCCAAGCCCAGAAGCCGTGTCCGCTGCATGGGGACGAGCCGCCGGAGCAGTCGGGGAGTAGTCGAGCCTGGGACCAAGTCTGCCCGCCGTCGACGGAGACGTCGACGCGGATGATCTCCCGCCCGCCGCCCGAGTAGGCGTATCCGCCGAGGGAGATGGGATATGCGCTGTCCTCGCCGGGCTCCCTGAGCTTCATGGCGGTGACGGCGCTCTGGACGGGCATCTCCTGGATGGCGGGGGCGGCGTCCCAGTCCACGCTGGTCTGGTTGGGGCCGAAGCACTTGTAGTCCCTGCGCTGCCACTGGCTGGGGCTCTCCTCGTCGCTGAGCGTGATCTTGTCGAGCCACTTGACGGAGCGGGCGGCGACGTGGCCGGGGACGATGGAGCGGAGGGGGAAGCCGTGGTCGCGGGGGAGAGTTTCGCCGTTCATGCCCCAGGCGAGGAGGACGTCGCCGAGGGGGTCGGTGGCCTTGCGGATGGGGATGCTGGCGGCGTAGGCCTCCATGGCGGAGAAGTGGACGTGCTTGACGTCGTCGTCAGGCTTGAAGCCCGAGTCGGCGAGGACGTCGGCGAGGAGGACACCGTGCCATTGAGCGTTGGAGATGGCGCCCGTGTCCCAGGGGAGGCCGTTGGCCTTGCGGCCCGACTCGCGGCTCATGTTGGAGCGGCGGTTGCCGGAGCACTGGAGGGCGGCGGTGACGGTCCGCTGGGGGAAGCGGGTCTTGAGGTCGTGGAGGGTGTACTTCTTGGCCGAGCCGTCAGGCAGCTCGACGGTGAGGGTGTGCTGCTCCGGGTCGGCGATGGTGGGCACCCACATGTGGTTGCGGACGTAGAAGAGGTTGTTGGGCGTGAGGAAGCTCGCCTCGAGGGCGTACCCTGGGGACTCGGCGTTTCTGGGCTTGAGGGTGCGGGTTATCAGGTCGGCGTGCCTGGCCGGATCGTCTGAGAAGGGGTCCTCGACATCTTCGCTCTGGGCCGGGCGGGAGCCGTCGGGGGTGAGGTCTGCCGAGTCCACGTAGCCGATGAGGTACTGGGAGAGGATGTCGTAGACGTACTGGGATTTGTGGATGGCGAAGATGTCCCAGTATTGGTCAATGGATCCGCCGGCAGCTCGGAGGATCACGTCGCCTCCTGGGTGTGCTGGGACCCAGTCTGTTATGTCGTAGACTTTGGTGCCGTGGACGATCCATGGGTTGGGGGAGGAGCCGTTGTGCTTGCGGATTTCAGAGAGTCGAAACCGGGGCAGGCTGTCGCTTGTCTGGGGGGAGTTTTCAAGGATTTGGGAGGCATCGAGAGATGCGGGAGGTAGTTGGGTGGTGAAGAAGGCAACGACGGAGACAAGAAGACCGGCGGAGGCAACCCAAGGAGTGAGCCGTCGTCGGGCCTGGCTCTTCTGGCTCGCTGGGGGCGTTTGTGTACTAAGTCCCCGGAATGGTAATAACAGAGCAGCTTGTCCGGACGAGTTGCATATCTTTGGAGCGGGAATCGCTACTCGTGAAGGCGACCCCCAGGGCCTTGGTCGGAGTAGTATCTGGCAAGTCTGGAGATACGATCGCGGCGGCATAGTGAAGGAGGATGACGATTCATTCAGGAGAGTGGCAGGGACGCGGACAAAGAGATGGTGGTGACGGGAGATGGGAGATGGATGCGTGTACTGGATCAGATCATGGCGAGAGATGTCGACTAAGAAGCGGAAGAGTCTGGTAGATGGTCAAACACAGGAGGGAGTCAATGCGATAACGGCGGTCACTTCCAGTCCGTGCGGACAAGACGCAGTTACACGGCAAAATGGATCGGCGACAGTGTGGCAGGCCCGAATTGGAGGTGAGACACGTAGACACAGTCCAGTCGAGTAGGAGAGAAGGCGAGAGGGAGGAGGGCACAGTCCCTTCCCTACTCATCACGATGGAGGCAAACCCCGAGGTCAGCTGGCCTCTGGCCGCCCCCAGGCACACTCACATCAGGAGAAACAGAAGTACGTAAGGAGATACGTAGCTAGCTCTTCGTATTTAACAACAGCCGCCGTGCTAACGCAGCCAAGCCGTGAGCTACGGCTAGCAAAGTCTGGGGAAAGGGATCGCCCCGTCACTTCGTTCGCCGATTGAACCGGGATCCTACGTAATGCAATCTAGCTACCCTGGATCCCCTGCAGGCAATCGCCGGTGCACCCTTGTCAGCACCTAGATAGGGACGATGCTCGACGCTCGGGAGTCGGTCATGTATGAATCTAATTTTTTCATTTACTAGGCCAGGATTAATTATTCTTATCTTTGCACAGCTAGGTACAGGGATGAGATACTTCCAATGCGTTATGCAATGCTCGAAACCATCCACGTATCAAATCAAAGTACCTACCAGGGCGGCCAAGTACCCAAGGTAAGGTAGCTTAGCTATCTCCATGTCGTAACAAACGCTCCTATAAAACAAACGCGCTTACGTGTATCCATGCATCATCTCAGAGCTGCCCCCTAGAATATGTGTGACGATTGCCGTACGTTAATCCCCCAAAGACGGGGATGCCCACGACACATGGTTTATGGTAGCCAGGGCAGGTTGGGCAACAGGACGTCTACCTTTGTTATCAACCCAAATCCTGAACCCTCGGTCCTACTACGCCCAAATGGAAGTCTATGTCAATCCTTCGAAAGTAGCTGATGTGGTGTAACTCGACCCAATACTGCGCAATGCAATCGTGGCTGAGAAGCAGGAGCTGGCTCTCGATGAACTTGTCTGAAAGGGCAGTTTGTTAGCCGCACGCCGCTGAAATAGGGAGAAATCGAACCATACCTCTCTGAAAACCTGTATTCGCCACATGGCCTCGGCTCTTTACCGCCCTTGCTCCTTCATTGTCAAACGGTGGACCGGGAGGAAGCTCAATCGCGCCCTCGGGGCCAATATCCTCGGCGACAAAGGTATACTCTCCACGCGGCACGTTGGCATCTCCGGTAAGCTTGATGGCCTCCAGACGGCCGCGATAGATACGGGCATCCAACCGTCGCTTCTCCCAATCTGCATCCGCCTCTCCTTCCAGACGCACCAGGCCAAGCTCCTCGTCGGACGCTGGTGGGTCATCTGGTTGGTTGAAGAGGAGGAACTCGCACCCGTGCAAGGAATAATCACCGACCCAGATGCCCCTCCAGGGTTTGGTGGGCGTTGGAGTGTACAGCTTCGGATCCAGCGTCGAGTATGTCATGACATCTTCACCCATGTGAATCCCAATCGGAGGGAAGTTTGCAGCAGTGGCAATGGGAGTGCCTCCCACCGCCCCTGCCATTCGCTCTAGGAGAGCCCGGGTGGACGTGCTTGTCCCCAGCATTTCCATCCATCGCCGTAGGCGGAATGTTTTGTCCGACATTTCAGATCGCTGGCTGGGTTTAGGAGGCTGTTGCGGAGCCTGGCTGTCGTCCGTTGTTCGGTCGCACACAACATGCATGGAGGCCGGGATGGTCGGCGGGGGCCAGATGTGGCCATAGGGATAGTCGGCGGCACGCTTCTGGTTCACCGTCTCCTCGTCCAGGGGTTTGGTCAAGATCAGGTTGCTGTACATGTGCTGGTACCGCTCGTCCAGCAGCACGCTCATCTCCTCGGAGAACTTGTTGCGGTTCCTCCTCCTCGAGTATTTCCTGTCGTTAATCTTGAATTGCAAGACGGGCTTGTCGAGATGTAGATAGACCCTGCATTTGAAAGGCTGGATGACGACACTGGGGTTTGCTTCCCATTGATGGGCCAATTCTTCTACCCGTACGGCGAGCAGGTCGTAGCCGTCTATACATCCTCGCCAGGGGTCGTAGCGGACGAGGATGAGCTTGCCAGGCAGGCCAGAGTCGCTGAACCAGATTTTATGCTTGGGGAGAAACCACAAGGGATCGTACTCTGCGAATAATTGATGATAAGATTTAAACGGTGAGGGGCTCTGGAGTCGCATTCCGGGGATATTCTCTTGGGCGATGGGGTGCCAGAGTATGTCGGACAGCGCATGGGCGCGCATCTGACGGCAAGTTGTAGCTACGGAGACGAGGTCGTAGGGGGAGAGGTGGTCAAGGATCAGGTCTAGAATCTCAGCAGGCGCACTGAGGAAGAGAGAGGAGCTGGGCTCGAAGGCCTGGTTGAGAGGCACTTGGGCGCCATCTGGGGAGCTCTCGATGGAGTGGAAGGAGGTCTCGCTGCCATCCCCATCAACAGCCACGGTGTCATGGGTTTTGGCGGCATCGACATGTGGCTCTGGCTGCTCGGGTGGGCTTTTATCATTTGAGGGGGAGATGGGGGCGAGACTAGGTGCGCTTGCGCTTGGCGCCGAGGCTTCGACTGCGGCGGCATCGCAGAGGGAGGTTGGGGTAGGTATATCCGATGGTATTCTGGGCTCGGATGGGCCTGGCTCGGGTGGAGGCGGGGTGGCGGCCATGTTGGAGGTGCCAGATGGCCGGCGCAGGTTTGGGGGCAGGGGCGGCAGATTTAAGTGTTTGCTGGTACGAAGCTTATCAGCTGCGTCGAGGCGGATGGAGATGGAACGAGGGAATGAGGCGGGTGGTGCTTGTTGATCGGGGGCCAGGGAGCAGCGGGTAGTTCGTCATTTGGCAGGGAAATGCGGAGATGATGCTGGTGCTAGTCGATCCACGGCCAGGTAATAAGGTGCGGTCCAGGGCCGGGCCAAGGCACTACCCAGTTAGTAGCTAGCTGGTGGTGCGTCGACGAGGAGATGCTGCCATGGGCTGGGTGATCAAGGGTGATGTAAAGAGGAGACGAGGTGGGGTTGGCATCTGACCCCGTTGCATCATCAGCCTTCATGGACAGATTGTGGCATGGCAATGTGGCGCAGAGTCCTTACGCCTCACTACAATGTGATGATAGAGGTAGGTGAGGCGCACACTTGCTCTCCAAGAACAAAGGAAATGACTTGATATCGAACATGTATTTGATGGCCTAAAATAATAACAGTGACATTGGTAATATATAATCAATGCAAAACTTATTCATTAATTCTTGGCTTCAAGTTCCTATTGGAGCTGATGCTAGATATTCTAACCTCCTACCTAAACAGCTGGGTGACAGAAGAAATGAGACATCGAAATAAAAGGTGGTTATAAGCAGGCCCTTTTTAATAATGGCTAGAATAACAGAGTCCCTAGTGTAAGGTAATAGATATAAACAATATTCAGTATATCATCTCCCCAGAATTTAATTAGCCCTTGATACTCTAATAGCACTGCTCGTAGACTTGACAATAAGAAATATAATATTTGACTGTCTTAAATTTAATTACACCCTCTTGGCAAGGTAACGATATCAGCGAGCTGCTCAGCACCCTCAGCTGCTGCCCAATTTCCGCCACACCAAGGACACTTTTCTTATTCTCCATGCCCAGGCAATAGGGACATGAACATTAAAAAAGCCGCTGAAATTCGACCGCCAATCTACATACTACATTTACCTCGCCCATGCCTGACCACCCTCTGCCGCCAGTCCCGATTTCAAATGCATAAGATTTCCTTGTCTATGCATGGATGCCGAAAGGCGTTGAGCACCCGGTTCTGAGAGGAGGCAGAGAACCCGAACCATTCACCTAGGGCGCAAACAAAGCGTCCTTGTCAGCAAGGTCCCAATAAAAGTGCGGCACGTACTGGAATGGGAGCAGGCAAGTATTTTGAGGTGCCTCCCTCTGAACAGCTACCCCGACGTCCCACTGATGTGCCCAGCATGCTACGAAGCAGGGTAGTGCACAGAACATGCAGTATGGAACCTTATCATCTATTCAATAGTACAGCTATGCTCGATTATCAACCATGTCCATTCCTTCCATTTCCTTGATGCTAAGAGCTGTAATTGACTTGTGTCGATGTGTGTGACAGGCCGAAACCTTGGCGTCTCAGGGAATGGTGGCTATAACAGCTGTTTTTCAATTCCTTATCCCCAGAAATGGCAGCCAGGCCGGGCTTATATATATATATGGTCATTGCCAAGGATCTTTTGGGCAGACGCCGTATCCATTGAAAATGGACCCTGCTTTGAGCAGTGTTAAAATCCCAACTGCCTTCGTACCACGCTCGACTAATTTAGTGACAAGGAGATCTGTACCTAATAGTTTCAAGCGTTACTTCGGGAAGGAGACGAGCTCTGTAGTATTGTTTGCTAACCTGGGGGCCCAATCACGGACACTGCAAATGGGTGCAGGCTTTTATTTCCCGTCAAGGGGGACAGGCAAGAGAATTTTCCAACTGAAGCAACTCGTAAGTATAATAAGGCAGCAGTCGCATGAATTACACACCAACAACGGTAAGCTCGGGCGCTTGAAGAATAGAAGACATGTTCGTGGGTGCGTACCCGTTGAGGAGATCATCGAGGCTATGGACATCGTTATCTAATGCCCTACGATGAGGGTTCGTTTGATCTTACGGTTCGGGCTCGTCACCGCGGTTTGATTTTCCCTCCAGCGCTGGGAAGACCATGAATTTTAGCTTGTTCTCCGAATCTGTCTCGAATATTGTGCTCAAGATCCAGTCCCGGTAGACTTCGCAGCGGCGAGCACATTCAGCTTGCTTCTCCTCGCTGATACGCTTATTGAAATCCCTAGACAACGGTCAATGAAGGTGATAATTCCCCAAAGCAGTTGACCCACAATTTCGCAAGCACTTTCAACGCAGGGCTGGAGCTAGATGCAGTTGATTCTGCTCTGTCATCGTCCCCCAAGGCTTCTGAAACTTCCTCTGAATCGCGGATGAGTGGGCAGATCCCGGCCTAATCGACGTCAGATGAAGGAATTCCGGCTTCGGCAAACTTCTTACGGTCTTGAGATACGCAGCAATGTCTCTGTTCTCTATACCGTCCGGCATGTCCTCTTTCCACAGATTGGCGATGGAGATCATGGAACGTCGAGTTTTGAAAGAGAGCTCAAGCCCCTGTATGAACTGGTCGGTGGCATGAGTCTGCTCGTCGTTGGCGGTAGACAGGTAGTCACTCGGGCAAAGTATTTCGACGGTACTGTTAGCCTAAGTAGTTCCCATTGAGCAAAAAAGCACTGGATCCGGATAATTTCCATTTGGCCACCTACCATAAAAGCTTTGCGAAGAGGGCAAGGTCGTCCAGAGGACACAGATATCATCTTGGTAAGCTTTGAAATATCCCTGCCGAAGAAGCCGGGCATGCCAAAGTCGCTAGTTTTGCTAAGCCACATACTCGCTACGATCAAGAAGACGAAGTGAGCTTACGGAAATTGTGTAATAACTCCCTCGGCATTCAGGATGCCTGCCGTTAGGCGCATTGCATGACATCCATTGTAGACCACCGGTTTCGGAAGGGTTCCACGCGCGATATACGAGTTGGCGAAGAAAGTATTTGCGCCAGGTGGAGGGATGAATGACCACTTGCTGTCAGACCCAAATGAAATGTCCAGCCACTCGTACGAGCAAATCGCTACTACACTCCCACTACCGCTTATCTGAGGCACCTGAGGTCTATCGTCACGGTGGTCGAAATGACCCGTGACTGAAACAGCTGGCTCTTCTGGGTAAGTGAAGGCCATAACTTTTAGTTTGCCAACAATGATTGCACCGGCGACCGTGAGCGATTGAATACAGCAAGCATGTGCCGCAGCTGGCTGGAGCTCTGGCAACACTCCGCCATTGTCGAGAAAGGTCATGTGGCCAGCGATGTCGATATTGTCATTGACGCCGATTCTGATGCCATTGAGTGGTCGAGCTCCTGATGGCGTGTAGTAGCAGCGGGAAGGTACGATTACTCTCAAATCAGTATCAGATTTCGGACAGTCAAACTTGTCCAATGTAAGGGAATGTTAGCTTCTAAGGACAGCAAAACAGAGGGGAAGGGGGGATAGGGCAAAACTTATCCGCCAGGGTTCCCAGGCGAGGGTTTGAAGGTACACTTGAAGGTGGCTTTGTGGTCATGATAGACTCTCCAAGGCTGCCAAACCTTTTTCTGGAAGAACACGTAGGGTCCCGAGGCAATATTTTCATAGCCGCAGACATACTCGTGGTGTTGAACACCCAATGTCTCGAACTGTGCCTCAAAACTCTCTTCGAGCTGGGGGGATATCCCAAGGCCATAAAATACGAGCCTGGAGGCGAATTCACGTCGGTAGACATCGTCGCGCTCCAGTTTTTCAGTGTGGAAGGTGTCGAGATCATCCGGGGTTGCGGCCTCACCAACCCCGGGAGCAAAGAGGAGAAACGGCACAGGGGATGAGGAATCAACCTCGAGAGAGAGGGTGGAATCGTATGGGATCAGAATGTACTCGACGCCATCGAGCTCCATCGTCGGCTCCTGCCCTGCGGAAACTCCGGGCCCAGGAGGATTTTGCTGCATTGTGCCGGATATTGGGATGGCGTTGAAGGTGACGGGAGATTACTCGACTGGGGAATAATGGTGTACGGGATGGTGGATCGAGACAGAAACTGAGGTTGGAAACTGAGGTAGTTGGTTGCTATAGGTACGTGATTTTTATCTAGAAAAGTAAGGCAGGTGGTGCTGTTGCTCCTGACTTGCTGAGCAACTGGTGAGAGGTGCCAGTGGGCAGGCGAGAAGGGTCCAAGATCAGATGGAAAGGTTTCACTATCCGTCGTGCCATTCCTCATCTACCACGGACTTCCAGTCCGGGACAAGATGACAATCCTCTATCCCGTTAGGATGCAATGTTAGGGCGGCAGGGAAAGGAATGGCCATGTAGTTCTGAGAAAGTGCGCACCGGCCATGTCCATCTGCTTGGTCCGGCTGGGACTTTTTCTGTATTTTCTTGCCAAACACATGAAAACGCAACGGACAAGACCGATGCCTGTTCGGAAACAAGTGGCCGTTTGCCAAGGCACATTTCTCTTCCTACAGTGGTGGAATTGACAAGGAGCACCTCCAACCGGCGGGTTCCAGTTGATTTCAAGGGACTTTGGTCACTTCGACGCAGGCTTCATTGAACGCTGAAGATGAAAACGCTGCATTGGAGGTTGATAGTCGACTTGTCGGTTTACCCCTGGCCATGTCACAAATGCCCGGTGTATTCGTAGAGCCACTTGTCCATCAGGAGTTTGCTGACCGCGATAGCACTGATGCCCGGAATCATATTCGGCGGAAGGAACCTTCTTGACCGCAGTAGGTCTGATCCCTCAAGTTGTTCAACCACATATAAATGGGGTAAAAATTGGCCCGGTTCAAGGATTGAGCAAGAACTGACACTACATTCAATACCTGTGCTGTTATATGACCAATGCTAGATGTTCATCGCAGCGACATCATAGAAATGCTGCTCGTCCATATGATCAAAGAAGACGTTTGCTCAAGAAGTTATGTTCCCTCCAACTCTTCCAGTTACATCATCCATTGGACAAGAGGACCTGAGCCGGGCGTCAGTCAGCGCTTGAACCCCCTGTAATTACCCGTGGACGCGCTAATCTCCGGGTAGAGGACAAGAGCCAACAGTGACGCACTACGCTAACATCATCGACCTGAGCTCTGCTTAGTCAGAACTCCTCGCGTCAGGCATCATGATCTAATATTTATTTACACGTCCATCCATGAATAATAAGCCTCATGATACCAGTACCCCAAGCTTCAACTCAAACACGTCGGACATAATCGCTCCTCGGCTCGCGTGTCTTCTTTTGAAACCGTCACGCAGGGGCTGCAGCTGGGTGTCCCCGGGTTGGAAGTCGTGCGACATCGCTTTGTGGCGGTTAGGACTGCCATCGGCACACGACCCAACCAGGCCACCGAAGAGCGCACCTCCAGGGGCCAGGGAACACGTCGAGCAGGTTGCGGAACCAGCTCTCGGGGAGCGGTGTCTTCGTATCACTTCAGCGCTGCATCTCGACTGGGGACCTCTTTTCTGACTATTTTGAACTGCTCCGGAGTGCCATTGCCTGGGTCAATCGGACTTTGAGTAGCACTCTCCAACTCTGTTAATTTCACCGTCTATCTTTATACGTACATTCCAACCGCGAAAATGACTTCCTTCCTGCCACTCATCTCGGAGCTTCTCCCCATGATCCTGCCGAGCTCGATACACGTTGTCCGCGCCAAGGATCTCCAGCCCAAACACCCAACCGTCGAAGGCCCCGTCCTGCAGCGTCAAGCCCTGGTCGGCAAGTGCGGCATGTGCGCCTCAGGTGAGATTTTCCTACTCTACTCTACTAACTTTCTGCTATGCTGCTGTAGTTTGCTCGAGCGTTGGGCTGATCTTTGGCAGTCCTTACAGTCCGCCCCCACTCAGAGAGTGCCATCAGGCACAACAGCGAGCAAGGTGTGTACACGTCCGGCCTATACTATCTACCTTACGCAACGCGCCGACTAATTTATTTGTAAAGACGCAATCATTTTCTTGGTGTCTGGGTCCGGGGTATTCTTGGTCAAAGGCGGGCAGAAAGAAGGAGCCCAGCGTAATGAGTTGACACAGGGAGATCTCGTTTTCGTCCCTTCCTGGACAGAGCACCAGCTGGTCAACGAAACGGATGATGATGCGGTGTGGCTCCTTATCCAGAGCGGCTCACGGCCTGTGGGAGCCGACCTGACTGACTGGGGAGGTGATGAGATATTCACCCGCAAATAAAGCCTCATCATGTGATGGTGTTTGATGCCCGAGTTAAGTTGCTAGATGTCACAGCATGAACGGACAAGATTGGCAACCTGGCCGCTGGTTGCCGGATCGTCGAATACCTGGGCGTGGTCAAAGTCCGAGAACAGTGTCACCTTGACAGCATCCCCTGGATTTGGGGTGGCTGAGGCCTCGAGTCTCTGCGCTTGGAGGTATGTCGCCACGGCAGCGACATCGACAATGAGATCGCGGCCCGACAGAACCACCGTTGCCCGCCTCCTCTTCCCCTCGACCCCTCCTATCCTGGACCTCCCCAGAAGCTCGTCCTTCCAGATTATGTTTTCTCGCCAGAAAAAGTGGCGGCCGAGACAGTGTGCAACTCCTGGGTCGGTGCTGGCAAAGTACCATAACTGCCACTCGTTGGCCCCGTTGGGGACCCGTCGCGTAAAGTTGAAGGCCACCGCAGGCAAATGTAGCATCACTGTCACCGGGTCAATGAGAGCGACAGATTCAATTCTGGACTGAAGCTGAGGCGAATGGATGAGATGAGCCGCCTGGACGGAGCCATACGAGTGCGATGCAACGGCAAATCTGTCCCAATGGTGGTGGTCCAGGATCGTCATGACTTGGCTCAGAAATTCAACCTTTCCAAGGGGCGGGGTAGTGAGACGGAACGAGATGGGCAAGAGTTCAATCGCAATGACGCCTACACGACTTCGATTCTGCTTGCTGGTTGCCGTCTTCAGATCGGAAAGGAAGCGAACATATGTCCAAAGACCTACCCCGATCCCGTGGAAGAAAAGGATGGGGACCGTGTCTTCGTCGCCCTTGTGTGGGGTGTACCAGTAACTGAGGCTGGGAGCGCTCGACTCTCGAGTGGCCAAGAGGGTCTGAGGTCTTGGAGGGAACACCCTGCGGTTGGCTTCTGACGATGAGAAGTATTGGAACCCTTGCAATGAGAGAGTGATGTGTGTGATCACATCCACCAGGAAAATCACCATATACCAAGCCAGGCTACGATAGGTTGTGTGGATATTGTCAAACGTGAGACGGAGGCTCTTGGCCGAACCACGGCCTGGTCTGATCTCCCTTCCCAGCTTCTCCTCGATCTGATTGATATAGCCCTCGAGCTCATCCTCCAGACTAGGGTCAGCTTGCTCTTGCTCGAAAAAGGCCCAGAGCAGAAACTCTTTGATATTTTCGCGCCGGATATCGTCCAGATCTGCGCCGAGAAACCAGCCGCGCAAGTAGAGCTCAAGTGAGGATACATTTTCAAGACAGCGCTGGAATAATTCCCCTCTCTCGGATTCCTTCAGTGGCACAGGGTGCACGGCTTTCTCTGTGAGACGGGGTTGAAACGACCGCCAAACTGTCACATAGAAGATTGCCTCGGCGCCTAGAAGCGCTGAAACAATCAGGACGGCAATGCGATGCCATGACTGCTGTCCATCTTGGAGAAGCAGGAAGCCAAGTGCGGCCACGTACAGGAGTGGGGTGTAACGGAAGAAATAGACGAAGAAACGTATAAAGACGTATTCTTCGTGGGAGGTGCCGATCATGGTTGATGATAATTGTTGGTGAACAGGGGTGGTTGCTTGGTGGATACAGAGCTACACGGCGTATCCCAAATTCTAGTGAGATGCAGGTTTGAAGTTACAATATCTAGAGCGAGTGGGGGAGAGAGGGAGAATGAAGGACAATAAATATCAAGCCAAACGGAGGCATCAGGCCATGTGAAAGCTGGCGGTGACCTGCAGCCGAAACCGTTGGGCAGATGGACGTTTGTGTTGTATTCAATTGTGTTGAGGCCGGGAGTGACGTAGTGCCGGATGTGCTGGCCTCAGGCACGTGCAAGCAGACGCGTCTCTTCTCCTGCGCGTCCAGGGCCTCGGCACGAGTATAGGTTAGTCCAGCGGTGAGTGTCAATGCAAACCTCTTCCCCCTGTCTCGCCCGATCATTCCACCAAGTTTCAATTCCCAGGCCGACATCACCTATCACTGGGCCAGCTGCGAACATGAAGCGGCTGCAAAGGCCATCGTCGAGCTCTTGTCCCGGAAGAATAAGAATGCGCCGGGATTCTACACCCACTTATCCGGCGCTGACAATATCTGTTTGCCAGATGCGAAAACTGGTACGTGTGGCCTCATGCGAGACCGCATATTTGATGACTGCGATGCCCTTGGTGAGATAGTTGCACCGCCAAACAAGGCTCCTCACCGGGAGATCGACTTAGCCGTTCTCAAAGATGTCAAGAAAGGTGTTAACTAGCCATTGTTTGTCCCCCGACAGTCTATGGTCCAAGCCCATAAGATATTGGGTTTACGCCCAGAGCAAGGTCGTGTCCTTGACGACATTGCTGCTGTCGTTGCATCCGAAGCCAAGGCATTAGGGCTAAAGCCTCACATTTGAGCTATGAATAAGTGTTTAGGAACCTCAAGGTATAAAGGTTTCCAATGACCACCCTACATGCAGGCCGCCTCACCGTATTATGAGGGTGTGCAGCATACACCTCACACGACATCTCTGCCCGCTCTATGATGGCGACTCGGCCTGTCTATGGCGTGCAGCGGCACTGCAGCGCTTTTGGGGCGCCGCCCGAGACTTACCGGAAACAGATGACATTGTCTCTCTTTGCTGCACTCCGGCTTGTCGAGAGTAGACGCAGAGTGAAAGCGCCGTGGCGCTGCTGCTGTGCGACGACAACCTCGTGCCTTGCACCACCTCAGTTGTCGCAGAACACGAACTGGGTACATGCAGGCAGCACACGCATCACACCATGTAAAGGAGGTAAGGGCCCGGGCTGGAGTAGAAAACTTCGTCCCAGCTCGTGGCTCCCATCACCCTCCCCGATCATGGTAGACCCGACCAAAGCACTCATACCACGGTATCCGTCACCGAAACGCCCATGTTCATTTGTTGGAGAAGCAGACTAGCCAACATCCCACACGTATCAGCCAGCCTGGACATAACGCAGCCGACCCTGGCAGCCATGAACCACAGGGTCCAGGAGCGACCCGAGAGGGCGGTCTACTGCCGCCCATACGACAACTACCACGAGCTCAAGCACTTCGTCCACGGCGCGGCCAGCACTGGCATGACCCTGACCACCAAGTGCGTCAGCTGCTCCAACGACCCCGCGCCGCTGGACTACGCCGACCGCAACCTCTTCTCCATGTCCTACCCGCAGGGCGGCGGCTTCCCCTGGCTCGTGGCGGACAGCAAGGCCCAGGGCCAGCACATGTGCTTCATCCTCCCCTGCGGGCACCTGATGGGGTGGTCGTGCATGGAGCGCCACAAGAGCGACCTCTCGAACCGCTGCCCCCGCTGCCGGACCATCTGGTTCCGCCTCGACGCCCCGGCGACGCACTGCCAACACCCGATCGTGACCATCCCCCTGCGGCAGGCCACCGTCCTGTCCGAGGAGGAGGAGGAGTGGCTGATCCCGCCGGGGGGCTACCTGCTGGACAAGTGCCGCGTGTGCGCGACCGTCGACGCCCTGCGGGACCTGACGGTGTTCCTGAGGAACGCGATACCGGGCGACGGCAGCTGCTCGTACGCGACGGACGGCACGCTCAACGGGTTCCTCGAGGGCGACGACCTCAAGCCGTTTGCGAACCTCGAGATTGCCCTCGAGCCGCCCGTGGTGCCTGATGGGTTGATGCTGGAGGCGAGGAGGCTGGAGGATGCCATCGTGAGGGCCTACGAGGGGCGGACACCCAAGGCCGAGTCGAGGATGGTGGGCGCCAGCTGGGGCAGGCAGTTTTGCTTCCGGGTTGCCGGGCTGGCGAGATCACCCAACTAGTTGATAGCCGGGCGGGAATTCGTTAGGGAGTGGTTGGCTTTTCTAACGGATCTGTCAGGTCTGGATGCTGGATGAGAAAAGGGGAAGGTGAGAAGCGATGAGAGGAGGGCAGGGTCTTCTTGTAGTATCGTTATTCTCATTTTCATGTGATAGGGCTGGCGAAGGGATATGGAATAGAATTATACAAAAAGATGTGTGGGCCAAGTATGATTTATGTGATGCAATTTCAATGAATATTAGTGTCGCATTAAATTACTACCTCTTATTCTATTATCTGACTGAGCCTACTTCGATTTGCCGAAGCATCATGGTGAAGCGCTCATGGGCCAATCGCCTCGCAGATTTACGACGTCATGAGTTTTTTTTTTCTGGATCCCATTTTTTCTCGACCCCCAACAAAAGAGTGAAGTAAACGGACACTCATCACAAGAATACCATCATTCATCATAACATCTCTCGAATTAATCAGAATCTTAATTTAGACATATACCGCGACTTGAGAACCCAAACAAGTAGAACACACAGCCATGGCGGACAGATACATCCTGCGCATCACGGCCGGCCCAGACTACGATCTGGCGTCCCATGTCGAGATCCCCGTCAACACTGCGGAGCCGGTTCACATCAACAGCGACAGGGCCGACATCCAGCTCAACGTCCGCGTCAACGACTACCGGGGCCTGCCGTACGGCTCGCCCGGCACCTCGCCGTATTTCGAGACGGAGCCGCACAAGTACAACCAGGACCAGTACAGTATCTGCTTTCGCTTCACGCCGAAAAAGCCGGCGGCTGTGGCTCAAGCGGACGAGAAGGTGGAGGATGTGAAGGAGGACGTGAAAGATGAAGCCGAGGGTGATGCCAAGGAGAACGCTGATGAGGACGCTAGTGAGGAGGAGGACGATGAGGATGAAGAGGTCCTGGGCATTTCAGGACTGGATCTCCAGTTCGGCAACGACTTTGACCGGCCCATTCGCGATCGCCTCCCCCCAGGATTCAACACAGCCATGGGCATCGTCCGATGGTGGGTCGACCCGGGCCTCGACGGCGACGCCTACGCCGACAGACCCTACCTCTACGGCCCCGCGCTCAGCTCCTTCAACGCCCTGCACGTCGGCGAGGCCGAGTTCGACCCCGACAAGGGCGGCATCTGGGTCGAGGAGGGCGGCGACGAGGAGGCGCGGGCCGGGTTCGGCGCCCCCGCCGACCGCAAGGCGAGGATGAAGTGGGCGCTGAGCGAGGCGGCCAAGGAGACCTGGGTGTGGGAATACGGGCGGACGTACGCCCTCGACTTCTTCAACCCGTACCTGGACTTTGCCAACCTGGCGCTGCGGCTGCCCGGCTTCCACCTGCCCATCATGAAGTACTGGGACGGCCAGGGTTTGCGGTAAGTTGATGCACCACCCCTTCACTCCGATGACACAATCTCCCTTAGTTTGTTTTGCGAGGGGAAGTTCTGCCCTACATTTCACTGGTTTGATTTTGGAATATTCATCTTCTGTGTGTGCGCGTTTTACTCATACTATCTTCTTGCGAATAAAGGTCAACGCCAAAGCGCTCACATACCCTCAGATATGTCCTGCGGAACCGGGCGACTGGTGAGGTGTACATGACCGTCTGCTTCACCCTGTACCTCAAAGAGGACGTCAACGAGGATGGGACTCTCAAGGAGGGCGTTGACGGCTCCGAGACGTCGGTTGTCGCAAAGGCTGAGAGCAGCGGAGACGAGGAATTTGACGAGGAGGCCGCGTTGAAGGAGGCGGCGGAGAAGCTGGAGATCAAGGATGAAGCGGCCAAGGATACAGCGACCAAGACGAGCTCGGAGGATCTTGACTAGGCTTACTAGATCACGAGAGGAAGATACGAGTGTGTAAGAATTTGCGTGTATGATTTTGGTGGTGTTAGAATTGGTGTGTATGAGATTAGGACCTACATGTACTCACCCAAGCGATAGAGACGGGGGAGAATATATTCCAAGTTACGCGAGGAGATAAAAAGAGCTGGGCATACCAGCGCAACTGTAGAACAGACACATCCACGGGTCGACAGAAATGCATACGATGCCTATTTCATTTTGTTTCATTTTGTTACAGTTACAATGCCTCACTGCAGGTCATTATTGCCAACCTCTCGTAGAATCACAGGGGACATGCACGGCCCATCGAAATACTCGGAGCGAGAGGTAACCTTCCCACCCACAGCGCCCTCCTGCATCTCGGCCCAGTGCGTCATGTCCCGCCGACAGATCGAGTCCATGAGGCAGAGCTCGAAGGTCCTGACGGAGGAGAAAATATCTACCGCGTCGCCGCCTCCTGGGCCTCTCATGCTCCTGAGCAGGCTCCGCAGGGGGATCAGGTCCTCGAGCTGCCACCAGTCCTCCCCCAGATCGTCCTCCTGCTCCGCCACGAAGTTGGGGTCCTGGTCGCAGCGGTCGGTGGATGCGGTGAGCAGTCTCAGGACCTGGAGCTCGGGGCACGCGTGCGCGACGAAGCGCCAGAAGATCTCCCTGCGCAGGCCGGGGGCGTAGACGGGGGATATCTTGACATCGAGCCGGGCGAGATGTGTGAGGAAGGATGGTCGACCCTGCCTGCCAGTCATTGACCGGGAAGGGCAGCGGCCACATGGATTCGGTAGGATGCACGGCTCATGCCTTGGATCGTTTCTCCCGCTGGAGGTTCTCGCCGTTCGAGGATACGCCCACACCTGATCCGTGCTGCTGGCCACAGAGGAGAGACGGCGCCTGTGTTCCAAAGCTCTGCATGAGCCCTGCCATCCAAACTGCTCAACCGCATGCAGCCGAACACGATCAACGCGAGGATTAAAGGGGATCAATTCTGTGGCGGGGTTGCCGTACGCCAGGATTGCTTCTTCACGAGAGGCCCGGCAGAGCTGGAAGTACGGCACGTCGCTCCAGGTACGGCACTCCCAAAAGACAAGGCTGGGCTGGGAGGCAGCCTGCTCCATCTCGGGCGAGCCCCAGTAAAAGACTCCATCGAGAGTATGCGATTCAGAAGCTAAAATGGCCAGGCGGAAGATCTCAAGTTGAATCTCGGCGGGAAGGTCGGAGAGTGGGAATCTGGGGATGGGGCCAAATTCGCCGGCAGATGGTGGTCGTGGTTCGGCACCGTTTTCTGGAGCGACAACACTGCGGATGGTGTCACGGTCCCGTAGGTAGCGGACAGGAGGCCAAGGCCTGCCGTTCTCGTCCTCAGTCCTGGATTTCACGCAGCCACTCCGGCAGGCCATGATGCGTTGCCAGTGAAGCGAGATGGTCGGCCACGGCAGCACGCTCCCGGGTAGCAGCTTCCGATTGGCGACGAGCGAGCAGGAGCCGTCTGGGTTGGTGACGCGAATGACCCGTGTTTTTGCCATGGCGGTGGTCTTGTTCTATGCATGTTGGAATGTGTCCGGCAGAGATTGAGGGTGTTGAGTGAGTGAGTTCACTTCACGCTTGGTTCAGGTGCTTCTTGTGCTGGATGGAGCGGGGTTTGTTGAAGGTAAGACCAGGCCGGCACAACACCAGAGAGCTGTGGGCGGTGTCGCTGTCGGTGAGGCCGTCACACAACCCAATCACCAAAATGTCCTGCTGGCTCAATCAATCCTATTTGCGATTATTTTAACCAGTGGGTACACCCGTGTTTGAACTTTCTACATGCCTCGTCTTACCAATGCCCGACCGACATCGAACCCCATGTGTCGCTAGGCAAACCATCCTTGGCAAACATCGTAAACTCCAAAATTCACCCAAGGCAAACTCGGGCTGGATTTCAAAAACAATTCAAGGCGCTATAGAAATACCCAGGGGGATTGGAGAGCCAACCCTCTGTATTCTTGGGTTCTGGTGCTATCCAAGTTCCTTCCTGATATCTTCCACTGCCTGACCCAGCTCACATAGCTTCCTACGTACCCCAGGCGGTGTTTCTGGTAGGTACAAAACATCCTCCAAAATTTTCTCTATAGGATCAACCCATCTTTCCATCCGTCGTCGTAACTTGTCTCTCTCCGCTCTTATTGAGTCTCGTTCTGACAGCAGTTGTTGATTGTTCCGCCGAAGCCTCTCATTATCTGCGGTCAGAAAATCGGGACATGATAACTGCGTTGTGCTGAAACGAGTTTCGCTCGACGTGGAAGACATGGTGAGAGAAGCGGACCCATGGTCGCTATCAGAGATCTTCGAAGAGCGCGGGTCGCTCTGGGAATGTATCTTGGAGCCGGAGGGAGATGACTCATTACCACTATTCTCAATAATTGTAGGTTCAAATGCAGGCAGACTGTCGCCGCCAGTGGTGGTGGGCAACCGCGCTCGTTTTGCAACCTGTGAGATGTTTTCTTGGAGACGGTTCGCGTGCTCCTTCAGCCGACGTTTCCTCGGGCCCTGCACCTCGCCAGATACTGAGATGGGCAAGCCGTCCGAGTTGGGAGAGTGCAGGGGGTTGACGGCGTAGACTACCGCTCCGAGAGGCGATTCTTGAAAAGATATTGTTGGTGCAATTCGGGGTGAAGTTTGGGTATCATAATCTTCATTTCTAAGCGCCAGTAGCAACTGGGCCTCTCGGATTCGATTATTCACATCGCCAGGCGTTTGATCCAAGGCCACAAATGGCTTAGATAAAGAGAAGGGGTAGGAACCTAAGCTATCGGATGTGGAAGCCATGATGCTAAAGCTATAGACGAAACTCCTGAGTTGGGTGGCACAGGCAAAACCAGCCCTTATGAATGAGGCATCCTTCTGTCCAGTTGAGAGGTGAGCACGGATGCACGCCAGTGTGACTGGCGACAGCAAACGATCCGCCTACTTGATTTGCGCGATGTGAACGTTGGTAATCATAAAGCACCGCACTTTCACGTGTGGCGTCATGGGCACAGCAGAGTGGCAGTGATGATGGGGTGGTATCATAGCGAGCTTGTTGGTCAGTGTTCATCGTGATTGGCCAATCCCAGCACATGTCCGTTGTCAAATGAAGCACGCCGGGAAAAAGAAATCAGCCCAACACTTGGCCAACAGCCCGAGTAGTAATTCGGGACTTGGGGCTTAGCGGAGAGGCTGTCTCAGAGCTGGAACAATTGTTGGTATTGGTCTGCTCAGCATAGGCTTGTAATTCAACTGATGGAAGAAACAAACCAAGAAATTGGAAAGAAATACCAAAAAATGTTGAACAATTAGTAAAATTAGACCATAAGCTGCTTTGCAAGACCGTGGACATGCACAACTTCAGAACAGCTAGAACCGGAAGTAGGTGACGAGAGTGCAGAACAGCAATGCCGCAGGTTAGTGGCCGGTTGAGGGAGTCCAGTCTGGTCCTCAGCGGCTATATACATCCTGTTTGAGTGGCCAGACTTTCATTTCTCCAAAGTGAGGTGTCTGGTATAGATTGTGGGTGATGAAAGATCCTTTTCTCAGGCTTTCACCAACCAGGTTGATCCGAGAGCCAATGTCAAGTGCCCCATCACAGAGTGTAGGGCTGAAAACATATCACACAATAGGAATTTAGTCCCTCCAAGCTGGGTCTGCGCGCCAGTTAATGTATGAATGGAAGATGAATGTCGACCAAACATTTCGGCAGTGTACGTGAGGAGGATACAGGCGCTTGGCTGGACAGGTCCTTGCTAGAGATGCCGAATGGAAAGAACCTCCCAGGTCGGGATTGCCAAGAAAGAAAGACTCTGGACGTACCTACCTAAGAAAGGATACTAAATTCTAGGCTGCCAGCAACTGATGGCGCCAACAAAGAAGCAGCTCACGCGAATGAGGGCCGATGGAATGACCATGCATAAACCCATGTGGAGGCAACATTGCCCCTGGGCAGCCAAAGATCGATGCAAGGTAAGCACCAGCAATTTGCAAAGAGTGAAACTCTGGGTCTCACCTGCAAAACACCCCTGGAGCGCAGACTGGTAGATTCCTGATGTGTAGCACAGACTTGGTGCCCATCCATCCCTTTTGCGGGATCTGTGTTTGGCCCTTCCCAATACAATCGGCCTCGGACATATCTCCTGACAGTCAGAAAAGTTGAAGGAAACAGTAGCCGCTTGGCATCTTTGCCAGGGTGTTCTTGATTTCTGGATGAGGCTAATCGACACTTGCTAGCTCAGCTTGGCCGTTGCGAAGGCAAAGACTAGATTTCCTCCAATTTCGAGTCAGGCGGGGTCACCGGGTGATCAAATGGCGCTTCCTCCTCTTCCAGTGAACGCCGAGATATCCTATCTTTCCGAGGCTGCGGACGGGATCTTCCATCTGAGGTTATAATCGATATTCAGGCCACTCACTCGGATCTGCAAGTGACTTTATCTGCCAGTGACTGCTTCCTCGGCCATCGCCGCCGGCAGCCGAAGAGAACACGGAGCGAATTAGCCCGAGCCACTGGGAGAAAACCCCTCGAAGCCAACAGGCAGCGGCCCCAGAAGGGTAGTAACGGTGCTTGGTGCTTAATCTCACCGTCGCTGGGGATTTCTTGCCGGCCTGGACCTTCCCCACTGTGAAACGACTGCGTGTGGGCGTGGCCACCTCGCAGTAACGTCCGAGTCTTGCATAATATATGTAATCTATGAGAGGCATGCATGTAATCAACGGTAAACGGCATCGACACGGCTAGGGAGATATGGCGCTGTTTCCGACACGCCCATGCCGTGCCCCCTTCAGGATTCTCCCTCCATCATCAACAACTTCTGGATTGTCCTCATACCGCAGGCGCCATCAGACAGGGACAGGGCTGGCATTCCTTCGTTCTCATGCGCTTCTAATAATATTGAACAGCCACAACGCCCAGGCTGTCGGTAAATGAGTCAGGTTGTCTGGGCATGGAGAGGAAGGGAGCCAAGTTGGCCGACTGCGGAGGGTTTCCTCAGCCGGCCGCGCACTGCATGGCCTAGCCGGGGTAAGAGCAGGCACAGGGCAACCGAAGATCGATGGTCTTGCTGATCCTCCACGGAGCGGTGGGTCTGATTCCCATGAGGAGGGCCGCGAGCTTCCCGTACTCGACGACGATCATGATCTACCACTGCGGGGAGGTGATTTCTGCCCAGGATGTAATCTCCCTCTCGGACAACATCCTGTCACACGCGAAGGTGGCTCGGCCAGGGATCACGATACTATTCCATAATTGAGCATCCAGGGGTTTTAGAGTCCAGAACATGGCATAACGCGCCAAGTCGTGGGCCAGCAAAACCACGCGGACCGTCAACTAAGGCTTGATCCGGCCAAGCTTATTCGCCCCCCTCCGTGATACTCCAGCGAGAACCCTCGAGCCCTAGGAACCGAAGGACTATCGATCGAATTTTGAACCCTGGTTATGAAAATATCATGACTAAAACCCTGCTCCCAGCTCGTCAACCTAGTGCTGATGAGGAATGCAGACTGGGTAGCGGCGCCAACCACCATGCGCAACACTTGGCCTCTGAGGGCGAAGACGGGGATATCCTTGCCTTAAACCTAAGCCTAAGCCCTCTCCCACCATTTCTGCTCCGTACTTGGTCATGAATTGAGTGGTCCCGTGTTGAAGAAACCAACATGGCTGCCGTCACGCCGTTTTCCATGCAGGAGGCTCTCTCCTTGATGGGATGGAACAAGCACTAGCCTGGGCCACTAGCAGTGTTGGCAAAGCCATATATTCAAGGATATCGTACGAGTTACCTCGAGGCCAGCGTCCTCAGTATATTCACCGAAACCAATAGTGCGTTTCTGTTCGCTGTGCCACCGACCGCCGATTCCTGCTTCGCCCCTCACCTAGATCCCCAGGAAGAGGTGTGGAGGCTGATCTACGATTTTACCAGCCATATCCTGGGCGTCGGCAGCGGGTACCTGACATACATCTCCTTGTTCCTTGTATATGTATGGAGGACTCTGAACCATCACACTCTTTTCTTTTTTTCCCTTCCGGCTGTTGATGCAAGCACGTAGGACTTGCGTCAATATACATCCCTGTCCATTACACCAGCTCCCCAGGCCGGAAACTCGCCCAAAATGAGCGACCGTGGAACGCTCATCCCGGAGCATTATGTGCATACTGTCCCGACAGCAGACGAGATCGAGCTATCATGTATTATCTGGGGACTGTCTTTGGGAATCTCCGTGTACGGCGCATTTGCCGCCGGGAAGCAGACCTTCAAAGCATGGAAACGAGCAAAGAAGGTTACTACCTACATGGCGCTCATCTGGCTGGCCTGGACTGCGAGTACGGTCATGGGGATCGTGAGCTGGGCCTTCCTGAAGGGATCTATCAAACCCGGACTTGAATATTTTCTAGTCATCCGTAAGTGATTCTGTCTTGGAGATGGTTGGCGTATGTTACGGCAGCTAACAACAGCCAAACTGCCAGTAATATCCTGGTTTTTCCAGATCCACACTCTCTTTCAGATCATCGTCAACCGAATCGCCGTTCTTTCTGTCCGAACAAAAACAATCTTCCGTCTCAAGTGGGGTGTCTTCTTCCTTACCTGCCTCATCAACATCTCCGTCGCCTGCATATGGGTGCCGGCCTCGCTGCAAATCAACGAGACCTTCATTTCCGTCAACAACGTCTGGGACCGTCTCGAAAAGGCCATCATTTGCGTGATGGACACGGGTCTGAACCTATACTTTATTTACCTGGTTCGCTCGCGCCTCATTGCCAATGGCTTGACCAAGTACGACCTTCTCTTCAACTTCAACTTGGCGATGATTTTCGTCTCCGTGTCTCTCGATGTAAGAGTTCCCGCTACGTATTATATTGGTCATTTGCTGAAATATGCCTTAGATTCTCATTGTTGCGATGATGTCTCTCCCCAACAAGTTTGTGTAAGCCAGCCCCATGCCTCCCCTGTAGAGTCCACCGGCCCTAACTCGTCCCATGCCTCCAGGTACCTCCAGTTCCATCCTGTCGCATACCTTCTCAAGCTCCAGATCGAGCTTGGAATGGCCGACCTCATCGTCAAGATTGTCAAGGCATCGAACCCTACGAGCCACAGCTCTGGCCCGTACGTCCGAGGCACGGATACCATCGGCATCAACGCCCAGAGCCGTACAGCTGGCAGCAGAGCCGACCCCTGGGGCAAACCTCAGCAGCGCACCAGGATCGAGGGTGGCGCCGACGAGGAGGCAATGGAGATGGAGATGTACGGCAAGGGCATCAAGAAGACTGTCGTGACCGAGGTCGTGACTCAAGACGATGCCGCGACGGAGAACGACCGGGCCAGCCACAGCAGCTCGACGAGGCAGCTGAAGGATAGCTCGAGGCAGAGCCACTAATGAGAGAACAGAAGTGATGGGGCGTGGGAGTTTATGCGATACCCTCGATATAATAGATGTACATAACCGCCCTCGAGGGTCAGGGACGAGTCACGCTGGTTAGACATTGTACGTACCTTCTTAATTATATATCTTGCATGAATAATTATGTAATGTGGCATTTATTTGTTCTGTTCGGATGTAAGGGTGCACCGGTACGGGACAAGCCGCATTTTGTGATCAAAGAAGGCACTCTTTGGCACATCTTCAGTCCTATCTCCAGTCTTGCCTGGTGAGTGAGCTATGGATATGGCATTTCTTTTCAACCTTCTTTGGTTTTGACACTGCTAGTCTGACAGAAGATGCATAGGAAATATACGGACGCGCTATGAGAAAGCTGCTAGTCTGGACCTCTTTGGGTTTACAAATTGCCAACCTGAAGATTACGAGTCTTGAATGACTGCCGTATTCACTCAGTCCTGAGTATTCGTCGGTCACATACTGCACTTATCCGCGGCACGAATGATCAACTTGGCTTCGATTTTCGCTCTCTATTGAAGTATTTGGTAGAAAGCAGTCAACTGAGGGAGAGAAGAAATGAGACCAGAGTGAAGGGCGGTTGTAAGCAGACCGCTTTCCACAATGACTGACTAGAATAATACAGCACTATAAAACGATGCAAATTGACAGCATTTACTATACCTTACGGTCTCTCCAAATTCACTATTAGCCCTCATCCTCCGACAGTCTGGTCGCGGACTTGGAAATAAGCAGCATTTTGTTTGGGTGTCTCAAAATCAATGTTACCCACTAGGTGATCACACTCAACGACAAACGCGTCCCCTTCACGAGTATGATTCACTGCACAACCGTAAATGGCAGTGATGGCGGCAACATGCTTGAAAATTCTCAGTTATTGGGTCTAGTCTTATTGTCGGACACCATTCATAAGTGGACAATGGAAGCCAGGGCATCAAACAGAGCCCCGAGGAGAGCGCAGGCGTTTCACAGCCTCACATCTTACACCCAGTATACACCTGCCCACCCGAGCACCCAAGCACGAAGCCGACGCATAACGCAACATCATCTAGCTCTTTATTAAGGGAGTGAGATACGTACCTGGGCTTTGACTCTCTTGCCATGTAACTGAGAACATCTCGGTTCTCCTTCACAAGTTTTCCATCAACAGAAGCCTTATGACCATTTTCAACCTTTCCACAAGCTGCCCCGGCCCAAGACCCTCAAGATGGACGTCACAGCGACCGTCGAGACTTTCACCAGCGGCTCGCTCACAATCCCACACATGACTATGACCGCCAAGGATATCCCATGCCCGCCACCGGTTCTGCTGAAGAACTTTGACGATTGCCACATCCCTGGCGGGACGGACCTATGGGCCAGTGATGGCTTCTACTCCCCCGGACGCTGTTTCTCCGGGTATGCGGGCATGTGTACGCAGACGGCCCCATTGTGGTCGCTGGTAGAGGGCGAGACTGCCGTGCGCTGCATCCCATCGTCAGTAACATCCTGCCCGTCATGATTATCGCATCCGCCACCCGTCACTCGAGCTTTATTTGATTCATTGCTGAAATACCTCTCAGTGGCTATGACTGCAATTCCCCGGGCGCCGATCCAAAGTACGCCATCTCTCAATACGATGATCTTGTCCTGTCTGCGCCCGCGTTTGAGATCCGGTGGAGGAGCGAGGACGTGAAAACTTTGACGGGCTATCAATCTTCAACTTCAACAAAGACCGGGTCATTCGTGAAGCATGGGAGACCGACTACGTTGACGACAGCTTCGCAGACGAGGACAAGCCTGGCAACTTCCGGAACATCGTCTGGCATCGCGACGCCTAATTCTGAGCAGGCTACATCCGTTTCCTTGTCGGAAACTCCTGCGATATCGAATCCCACGCAGTCCAGTAACTCTCCTTCACTAAGCGCCATCGCAGGAATAGTGGTTGGTGCTCTTCTCGGAATACTTGGTGTGGTTCTGATTGCGGTGTATTTGGTCTTTCGGATCCGAAGGGCTAAGCGGGATGCCCCATCAGAGGACAGCTCGGCGAGCGCAATTCCTCGTGGGTTCCTGGAGTCAACGTCTGAAGCTCTAGGTCTGCGAGGACCGGCAGAGCTGGGTGACGAGCCCAAAGAGCTCGCGGCTAATGCATTTCACAAGCCGTTCGGTGAAGATCCTACTTTGGCCGGATGTTCTCACCCCGGGTTTGTGTCTCTGAACCAGTTTCCAGTCGAGCTTGAGGGTCATCCTCCTGCAGGCGGGGTAAATACGGGAGAGAAGCCGAGGCCGATTTGAGTTCGGAACCTCCTCCTTGATTCGGCTTTTTGTACATACGTATTTCATCTCGCTAATGTGCCGTCTTCCACACCGCTCATAGACGAGGGGTTATTAATAGCCTTCAGAACAGTCGAGAATGTCATTTCCATGAGGTTAGTGGGTAGTTGCGAGCCCTGGTTGAAAAACCCTCGCCCTAGCTGCAGCGTCATCTGCAGTGGATATGCCAGATCTAAGCTTTCACGTCCCATATCCTGATTATTCCCAGATCTTAGCCCCTTTACATGTCACCCAATCTCAAGCGAGATTTGCTCGAGGGGTCGACCTGTGGAGCCAGATGAGATCCCTCCCCGCGAAAAGGGCCGGGAAGAGAAAAGTTGTTATTCCCGGTCGACCGGCAAGGATGAGGTGTAACCCTCAGTCGAGGTCTTCGCCTACATCTCGTCATTTTTCCCTCCTTCGATCGTCATCCGGCACCATTTGGTAGCTGGAGCGCACAAAATTTGCTCAGACAGCTAAAATTGAATATAAGGATAGGTGTCGACCCTCCCGTGTCGCAGAGCATGCAACCGATGGTTCTGTTCCTGACTCCGACATACACACCAAATTCGGCCTCGAGCGATGGAGGCACTTGAGAGCAATCTTGGCCCGACTGCTGAGATCGAGACCTCAATTGATCATGAAAAGGCGGAAAAGCATCACCGACATGGGGAGAAGTACGAAAACGAACCAACAGGCACTCGTACCCGACATTCTGAAAACGTATTGGAGACGCAGCTGGATGCAAACACCCCGATCACGTATCTTTACCTTGAATTCGAGACGAGTCGCCCGACACTGCCGCACCTAGAATATGCAGAAAACCTGCCGCCGGTACCTGATCTAAAAAAATTCAGCAACCCGAAAACATGGTCTCCGATGCGAAAGCTGGTACCGCTCATCCTTTCGTGTGTAGCAACCTTTTGCACCGCCTACACAGCTGGTTCTTACTCTCCCCCGTCACGTTTGATAGCGAATGATCTAGGAACCAGCCACCTCTCTGTCCTTGTGGGCATTACGACCTTCTGCATGGGATTCGGTCTCGCCCCAATGGCGCTTGCTCCCATGAGCGAGATCTGGGGCCGTTACGTCGTCTTCGTCGTCGCAGGCATCGTCTATGTCGTATTCGAAGCCGTATGTGCTCTTGCACCGAACTTGGCGGGCATGTTGGTTGCGCGGTTTCTGGTGGGTTGCGGCAGCAGTGTGTTCTCTTCCGTTGTGGGCGGTGTGCTGGCGGATGTGTACGACAAGGCCGACAGGAACACGCCCATGTCGTACTTTAGCTTTGCCGTGATTTCCGGGACCGGGGCAGGACCCTTGGTGGCAGCCGGAATCGTGAATGCGATGACAAGTGGGACACAGGCGTGGAAGTGGTCGTTTTGGCACCAGGTCATCGCTGGCGGCGTGCTCGTCATTGCTATTGCCGCGTTTTTCCACGAGACAAGGGGAAGTGTGCTGCTGTCACGCCAAGCCGCTGCTCTGAACAAGTGGTATGAAGCCTTGGAGGAGCGAGGTCATTTTGGAGTTGCTGTAAGAGACTCCCTTTTAGAGGAGATCGCTCGCCCTTCAGCCGCATATACCTCATCGTCGAGTGACCCGGAAAGTGATGGTAGCAGCGAGGGCCTGACCATCCGACGAGTACGCTGGAAGGTCAAGGCCGACGAGGAACGAGCGTCACTGGCCACAATCATGTCGACGTCCATTCGACGGCCCTTCTATCTTCTCTTTACAGAGCCCATCGTCTTCGCCTTTTCCCTTTGGGCTGCCTTCGCATGGGGTGTCCTATTCCTCGCCTTTGCCGTTGTGCCCTATCTGCACGGAAATGACTTTAATGCAGCGATGAGGACGTATATTGCTATGATAGGCGGGAGTGTATCGGCTACTGCTGTGAGCATCTGGCAGGAGGAACTCCTGAAGCATCCGAAATGGCGACCTGAAAGCGACGATACATCCTCCAGGTTCTGGGCATTTATGAGACGGCAGTTTCCCGCTGACTCGCCAGACGCCCGGCTCTACTTTGCCTGTATCACGGCTTCCTTCTTACCTGCTGGTCTGTTCGGCGCTTTTATGGCTCCCAGCACAGGCCAAGAGGGCGATAGAGGCACCGGCTTGGCGGTTGGGATGGGGTTCGCTACCTGGGGTATTTACTCCGTATACCTGGCGAGCTTCAATTATCTGGCCGACATGTACCAGATATATGCGTCCTCGGCCCTTGCGGCAAATAGTTTCTGTCGGAACTTGTTAGGAGGCAGCTTTCCGCTCGTCACGGCCGCCATGTTCAATAACTTGGGAGTCAAAGGTGCTGGAGGGTTACTTGCTGGTTTGGGGACAGTGTTGACTGTCATTCCTTGGGTGCTCGTGTTCTGGGGTGATCGCATCAGAGCCCGAAGCCATATGGCGATCGTAAGTTCTTGTCCCCCGCCAACCTCCAATATCTTTGTGTCTTGAGAAAGGCATCTGCTAACGATGAGAAAACAGTTGCTACAAAAATAACACGCTAGATATGTAAGATATCTCGGGTGAATGAGTCATGCATTATGAGAAAGCGACAAGAATTCCGTCTTGCGGTCATGTTTTTAGGTAGCCGCAGCAAAAGCGTCTTTTGAAGTTCGGGAGGAACCAGACCTCTTCACATTGCTGTACATATTCAGCAGCAAACGATTCGGATAATATTGGGATAGAGAAGATGC